ATTTAAGCGCCTGCATAATCGTGTCTCTGACTTGAGCTGAACAAGGACAGGTTCAAGCTCACACAGTGTTGCCACAATCCTTAGGTAAATACAAGCAAAATAAAACAAGTTATAACCTCGATATTCTGGAGTGGTTTCCATGAGTGAGAGCTTCATAACAGTACCGCTGGTAAATGTTATAGATAATGTTTCAGATTCCTCTGAGCGTTCAAATATAGATTGGTAGGTTCGACAGTGTTAATAGACTTACGAAGCTATACTTATGAACTACTGTTATAGTGGTTAAGGATGGCAACGATCAAGATCGCTGGTATCAGAGTAAGTACGGCGTTTTTCGAGGCGATGAAATGATATTATATGGGCTCATCATTATAGACGCTACAGTATAACTGTGTAACCTGACTTGCTTCAGATTGCAGGACTATGGGAATCGAGGATCAGGGCGATAGTGTCTGTGTCGTCAAAGCGAATTTATAAGACCTGTGCATTTATCAGTACTCCGACGTACGAAAATATTTTTGATAGGCAGTGTATCTCAAAGATATGGTGTGATAGTATCGCCGGACTGCTGAAATGCAGAATGCCTTGTCTGTCTGTAGTAGTGGTAAAGTTTTCTAAATTCTTCTACGTTTAGGCACTTAGTAACTGGTAACTTATTGCTATACTGCAAAGGGTCTTAATTTCCCCGTTACTTCAGATACAGTTTTCAGCTCTTGTGCTGTAACATAATTAACTAATCAATCAGTTATGTCGTCATTTGTCCAGAATGTAAATGACGTGATTTACTGTGCCTTTTATAACGTGGTCTGTTATAAATCGTGTAATTAGTATGATCGCTTTTGAAAGTTTGTAGAAGATCATAGAAAAATGTAGGACAGTCTGACGTGATGTCAAGATCGCCGTATGGTTTATGTGAATTACTTCGATATTACAATATCTTTATTCCCCTGCCTATGGTATACAATAATTATTCCACTGATGGTCATTTGGTTCGTGTGCTATTCCATGTGTTGAGTCTAATATGAAATATGCAATATGAGGAATCTGCTGATCAGGTTGTGCACAACTGACTATTACGAAAATCTTTCGAATGTGACTTAATCTAATCATTGTAGTGATCGTGTTCATTATTGCCATATGGCTTATTGCACTGTATCTTGACTCCGTGTTTGTTCTGTTTTGTAGTAATAGCGTTATTTATTTGATGCTGACGTCGTGCACTTTCAGCGTTGAGATTCAAGAAAGTGTCCGCGGCGAAGATGTTTTCATCGTGCAGTCTGGCTATGGCGAAATCAACGACAACCTGATGGAGCTGTTGATAATGATCAATGCCTGTAAGATCGCCAGCAGTTGCCGAGTGACGGCTGTCATCCCTTGCTATCCATACGCCAGACAGGACAAAAAAGACAAGGTGAAATTTTGGTGCTGCAGTTTGCAATTCAGCTTGACTACAA